TTTATCACAGGACAACAGGTAAATGTCATTGTTGTAAATACAGACGTGTGTTGCCCAATGATAGGAATATGTCATGAGTAGAAGGAATATACTCTAAAATAATAAAAAGTATAGTAAACACATAAACCAGTAGTAATGGGGTCATTTTTATTAAGTTATTATGTTGTACGTGATTGTACGGGCTGGACTTTTACATGTGTGATAGCACAGTAGGTTTGTTTACACCAACTTCGCCACAAACACGTGGATAACGTATTACACTGTGATGATACTGTGACGGGTACGATGCCGTCAGACAATAGGAATCCATTAAAATCTTATGGGACCTCCATCATATATGTGGTCCACCATTGACCAGAATGTCCTTATGTGGCACCTGACTAATTCCTTTTCAGACTTTATGGAATCTTTAGTTAAGTGATACAAAATAGGTAGGACTGGTCCATGTTTTATTTGATTTATTTATGTTTTAAATTTATTTCAGTGGTAAGGATTAAACCTAGAGTCTCATGCATGCTAGACAAGCACTCTACCACTGAGCTACATTCCCAGCTCTATTTATTTTGTTTTGAGACATGGTCTTGCTGAGTTGCCCAGGCTGGCCTCAAATTTGTGATCCTCCTGTCTCAGCCTCCTGAGTGGCTAGTGCATACACTGTGCCCGGCTGATCTATCTTTAAAAAATAATATGATAAGCCAGGCATGGCAGCACACATCTGTAGTCCCAGCTACTCAGGAGGCTGAGTCAGGAGATCCTCTGAAAGCAGCCAGGTCAATATATCGGGACCCTAAAAAGTCATCTGTGTACTCCCAAACTGGAACTAGACAGTAATGCTTAAGAGTATGCTACAGAATCTCTTCATAGATCGTACTCTTCCTAAATTAGAAAGGCCTCGCTACTCTGACATGAAGTAAAGGACAGATTCCCTTTACCTTACCTCCTCCTTCTGGTGAGTGCACCTTTGTTCATTCATGGAGACTGAGTCTTCCCCGGTTCAAAGAATGAGACCTCTCATGGCTGACTTCAATTAGTAAGGTCAGTCTCTGCCCAATGAGGTTTGATTTTTCTCTTCAGTTAAGTGATCAAAGCCAAGTCATCAAAGCCTGAATACTTACAACAGATTCTAATAAATTCTGAGTTAGCTAGTCTTATTAGTTTTAATCAGAGTAAAAAGATTTTTGTCATCTCTGTTTGAAAGTATGTGTCATATTCTTAGATTCAGAACCCTCATCAGTGGGATCTTTCCAGCCTTTGCCAAAAAGTTGTCCCTTCCAGAGCAGGAACTGTGTCTGTGTAAGAGATGGGACACCTCAATACACAAACATTGTACCCTACATATCTAGATTACTCAGAACCAGAAGTTATCATGAAAGTGTGGATCGTCTGGGGTTCTTGGAGTGTCTGACCTGGAGCAGCTTCCTGTCACTTCCCTAGAGGCTCTTCAGTCACCTGGATGCACCGTGGGACCCCGCCCCCCTCCAGCCCTCCGTGTTCCTGCACTTGCACACACAGGGCCATCAACAGACCTGTGTCAGCTTGGCTTGGTTTTGTCTGTGTTCTGCTCGTAGGGTATTCTTCCACTTCCTCAATTAGCTTTACTAACCCAGAGGCATGGGTGAGTGCAGCAGAGAATGGGGGTGTTTGTCCTGCATGTGTGCGTGCATGTGTGACATCCCAAACCAGCAGGCTTCCATGGTCACCCGGCCGCCTGCCCTCATATTGTAAGAATCACTGCTGGTCTGGAGTGACCTAATCCATCAGGCTCTACCTGGTGGGTCCCCAGAGTTAGTACAGTGTGTACAGTATTTGGCATGTAAACTTGAGAGTTAAGGCATTTTATTTTGTTTTTATTTTTATTATTTTTATTTAGAGACAGGGTCTCACTGAGTTGCTCAGGGCCTCGCTAAGTTGCTGAGGCTGACTTTGAACTCGTGATCCTATTGCCTCCGCCTCCCAAGCTGCTGGGATTATAGGCTGTGCACTGTTTCCCAGATGAGGCATTTTATTTAATAAGTTTTTCATAGAAATGGTGAGCCTTTAAGCTAGTAAGTTATTCACATCTGAATATGCAAAAATTCATAAAGCCCACAAGTGTATTCTCTCGTAATTATTTAAAAATTAGAAACTAAAAAAAGGGAGGAGGGATATTTCTAAAGAGTATTTCATTTGAAATAAACAAAATTCTTACGCTTTGAGTCTAGTGTAAAGTCCAAATGAAATTTCCATATTTGCTATTGATCTGTTCTCATTTTCTGAAGGGGATTTTATCCAAATGTTTTGTTATTGTTGGCAGAAAAGCAAAGCCTGGATCTGCCCTCTGTGATTTGTTTTGCTCAGTCTTGACTTTTTGGACCAAAATACTAACCACTCATTTTTGCCAGAAATTTTGCCTTCCACTGATGTTTTTCTTGACAATTGCACAATATTCTTGGCTATTGTAAAAAATTACCTGGCTTCATATGTAAGTATATAAAATATAAGTATTTTAAAGTGCAAGTATATAGAGCACACAGAAACAACATATAGACTTATGTATATTCAAGCAAAAAGACTCTGCTATCCAGTTAGTTTTATATTTTGAGGGGGAAAAAAATCCAGCCAAGAACATTTGTTCCAATTCGTTTCCCATTGTCAGGAGATAGGGAATGGAAACTATCTAAGTAGTGGATAATTTCCCCTTACCCTCAAATTATCAATTCTTTGAGCTCCTGGGAGTAACATTTTTTAAACATTGCATGTGCTATTTACATAGGAATCTAATACAACACTGAGCCTGGATTTAGAGGACCATGTTTAAAATGTCCTCTAACAGTTCATCAAGTTCTTTTCTTGGATTTTATTCACTAGTTCAAGAGAGAAGTACTGTGGGAAGGCATGTGTATTTTCTTAGAGCAGAAAGTACGAAAATGACGGCAGAATTTCCTGTTTTAACCGAGAATGGAGGAGGGCTGGGAGCTATTTGCTTCCCGCGTGGCTACATTCCAGCTGTGCAGACTGGTCATAGCACATCTGCCAATCAGAATGGGCCCAGGAGGGAAGCCCTTGGATGCTGGGGCTTGTTGACACGCATTGCAGCGTGACTCTGTTTCTCCTTGGCTCTCCTCTGTCACACCACTGTGGAGAGAGTGGGGGAACTTGCTGTTGACTAAATAAACTACAAACCCTGGGTCATAGCCACAGCGAATGACTTTCCAAGCACTTTTAGCTCATCTTTAGCCACAGGTAAGAGTTGTCGCTTTGTTATTTGCAGATAATTGATCTCTCTCCAGTTTCTAGCTTTACTTTTGTTAGCAGAACTACAGGAGTGATTTTTAGAGAAGATTACTCCCAGTATGACCATGACTTTAATACTCAACAAGTGAAAACCGCGATGTTTGAATTTAAGGAAGGGGCCAAACCAAATTAAATTAAAAGTCTTAAATGGCATGGGTAAATCAGTGTGAAGAAATTAGAACTGGAAACGTGAAAATTGTGAGATTGGAGAGCTTCGTATCTAAACAGATGTGTTCTATTGTGAGTCTTCCTGTTTAGTGGTTCCTAAAACAGTGTTTTAATGTGTACTCACTCTTTGGCTTAACATTTTTTTTTAACCCATTCATAAAGAATGGTTACATAGATTTAACTGTGAAAACCCTATTCCTTTTCTTCCTTCTTTCTAGTTTTAGGGAACGTTTACATTGTCCTCTTTCGATGCTCCACCAGCAATAAAAATAGGGGGGAAAAGTTACTTCTGATCTTTACTTTGCTATTAATTAATTAATTAGCATTAATTCTGAAGGTACTATAGGAACCTGTGTTTAGATAATATTCTGTAAGATATATTTAAAAAATAAATTGATGGGCTGGGGATGTGGCTCAAGCGGGTAGCGCGTTCGCCTGGCATGCGTGCGCTGGGGTTTGATCCTCAGCACCACATACAAACAAAGATGCTGTGTCCACCGAAAAAAAAAAAATAAAAATATTAAAATTCTCTCTCTCTCTCTCTCTCTCTCTCTCTCTCTTTAAAAAAATAAAATAAATTGAACATAAAGAACTCTGTCGTCATTTGTATATTATCTTCTGTCGTCAATTTTTCCACACCACTGAGGCCTTTTGCTTCATTTGTTTTTATTTTTAAGCATGTACAGGGGAAGAAGTAGTTGCAATAGTTACTCAGACTCAAAAACAGACAGCTTGCAGATGTTGTTGTTGTTTCTCTTGTATGTGATTATCTTCAGGTTGATTGATGGCACTTTTTAGCAGTCCAGAGAAACACTTGAAAACTTCAAGCAGCTTTGCTCTTACTTGTTACCCTCAAGTGGGATTTCTCACATTTGGGGTGAGATCATTATTTGGGGGGATTGTTCTATGCATCATAGGACACAGTAACATTGTCTCTGGTCTTTACCCATTAGCCTTTCTCCCCAGTGTGACAGCACCCCTACCCCAAAATAAAAATGTTTATAGATAGCATGTTATACCTAACTACTGGTGAAACATGGAAATCAACTTCTGAGATACCCTGGATGGGATGGAGTTAAGGATGAGGCTGTGTTGGTCTCAGTGTATTTGCAGATGTTGTAACTGACGACTCATTTTCCCCTCTCCTCATTCTGTTAGAAGCTTCTGCCAACTATGATTCATGGGATGATTTTTTGGAGCTGAGTAATCTGTGGCTTTTCAGTTTCCTTACTTTCCTTCCTTGGCTAAATCTGTTTGGGTTTTAGCAAAGTGTTTAACACAGCAAAGATCTTTTAAAATGAAATAATACATGTCATGACATTTTTTCAAGCACATGATTTTAACAAACCATAGAAGTTTTTCTGCCTGTCCTTCCTGGATCCTGTCCACCTTCTCTTCCCTGGCAAGTCTTCCACCCTGATGAGGAGCACCATGTAGGGAGGGCGTGGCCACCTGAGCAATCCTTTGTGAAATCTGATGTCAGGGCAGCTGATGTTTAAAAACATCTTCCAGTGGTTCCTAAAGAGCATTTGACTTATAATTGTCTTCTTTCCTTACAGATCGCAACGAACGAAATAAACCAGAGCACCGTTCTGCCAGGTATGAATCTATGGTCTTTAACTCTTCTGTGTATTTGAAAAACATTGTTTAGAGGCAACACAATTGTCCCTTTTAGGGTTACTGTATATTGGAATCTTCTGTGACATTCAGAAAAGCTTTACAAGGGAAATGTTGTTCACTCTCTGAATAAATATTCTTTATAAAATTACCTCCTGAAAGACGTGTGTTACTTTGAGAATTCCTATCAGTGACAGATTATTTTATTCTTATTTCCTTCCTTTTCTGACTTGTTTTCCTGTCCTCTCTTTAATCACAATGTATATTACTGTTTTTCTGACTATAAAACTATTATGGTCTCAATTGTAGAAATTTATAAAATATTTTTTAAAAAACATGCAAAAATATCTAGCCTGCCTTCTATCAACTAGAGATGGCCATCTACTGCTAATATTTTATTGTATTTCTTTCTAGACTTAGGGGTGTGTGTGTGTGTGTGTGTGCCTGTACGTATATATTCAAATGAATTCTCTTAAGTTCTTCTTAGGTAATTTCAAATGGCCAGGGGATTACATCACATAAGACTCTGACCTACACTGAGTGTCAGTCCCACCCCCCACCCCCGCCGAGACCAGCACTGAAGAATATTCCTAAAAATCTTTTTCAACTTTTGAAAGTAGAAAGCTGTCTTGATATTCTTTCCTAAGCAAGACAGACAGAACTTTTTAACCTAGTTTTATGAAAGATTATAATTTTCTAATATTAATTCCTCCTTATTCTATCACTTTCTCTTTGCCCTTTATGTGGTGGGGACTGATGAAAGGGTGATAATAGATTGATTCATTAGGTTGCTTGGTATAACACAAACCCTGATGCTCTTTCAAGAGATCAAATCCTAGAATGTTTAGACTTCAGGGAATAAAGATATAAAATCTCTGAAAACTCAATTACTTAGCATAGAAATGCATTTTGCAGAAATTGTCAATCATTATAAGTCAGTGAGACCTAGTTGGGAGAAGAATATACCTGCATATTTAGCATCTGGACTGATTTTTTTTCCAGATATAATTTATATATGTTAAATTTTACTCTTGATGTTGCCCTATGAGTTTTTTTTTTAAAGAGAAAGAGAGAGAGAGAGAATTTTTTAATATTTATTTTTAAGTTTTTGGTGGACACAACATCTTTATTTTATTGTTATGTGGTGCTGAGGATCGAACCCAGCGCCCCGCACATGCCAGGCAAGAGCGCGCTACCGCTTGAGCCACATCCCCAGCACTGCCTGTGAGTTTTGATAGACATATCAATCATGTGTTTACTACCACAATCATAAAAGAGTTTGCAAGATTGATTTTTTAAAAACAATTTTAAAGAAATAATTTTAAAAGGCAGCCTAAGAAGACATTAACAGCATGCGTAACTATGAATGACATGAAGTTGGAAGGGTTAAAAAAGTTCAGATGATAAAACCATGATTCATTAGTGTTTAATATAAACACTTTGAAACACCAGTGGAACATAAATAGATGGAGGAAATGTAACTTAAGCAACATGTTGAAAAAAATCTTGATTTTTGTCAATTAATTCATCAATCAATTCACCTCCCAAGTGGGTTTGGAGGCAATCATAAAAATCTTGATTCCTCAAATCAGTATAAACTCCCAAGTGGTTTATACTGATTTGATTACATTGGAAGAAGTATAATGCCTGGTATAAAACAAGTGGTAACTCTAGGCCACACTCACTGTTGATATTCTATCCAATCCTGGGGCCACAAGACCTTGCAAAATCACAGTGTACAGGAGCAGCTACATTGATGTCCATGGGGAACTTAAACAAAACAGCGTCCCACAGCTAGTCCCAGAGAGTCTATTCAATTCATTAAGTCTGGAGTGCATTCTCGAATTGCACAGGTCCCCCAGTGATTCTGAAGCAGAGCTGGGTTGCAGACCTCTCTGGTCAAGAGAGTAGCAGCCAATGTTAGGGCAGGGAAAATGATGGAAAAGAGTCATGGAAAAGTCAACTAAATTATAGGGAGTCTGGGTCGAAGAATTGAGAAAATTTAGCCTAGATGTGGAAGTTCTGGGAGGTATTTGAGACAGAAGTGGTGATTGGCTTCAGATACCTGGGGCCTGGTCACGGAGGAGACTGAAGAATTGTTCTACATCTGGCACTTTGAGTAATAGCTGATTTCAGGTCTGGGGCAGGGAAAGTACACAATGAGGCTGGACTCCTAGCTGAGATAGGAAGTTAGGTGCTCAGCTAATGGGCTCTTGCCAAAAAAGACATAGGCCATAGCTTCCAGAGACTTCATTAGGTTGCGAATGTGGCTTAGTGGTAGAATGCTTGCCTATCATGCATGAGGCCCTGGGTTGGATCCCAGAGCACCCAATAAATAAATAAAAAGGGGTTGGGGAGAAAGAGACTTCCACCAGTCAAATTTGGGACAATTTCAGATTCAAAAACAAGATGATAATGGTTAAAATATGTTTTTAAAAATCCATGTAGAATGAATGATAGATTTTTAGAATATCATCATTCTGCAATTCTCAGTGTCATTGTTGGTAGGTGAGGGTCATCAATGGCAGCTAACCCTACTATAAAGATTTGTTGGGGAGGGGCTGGCGACGTAGCTTAGGCAAAGGCCTGGCCTAGTATGTGCAGGACCCTGGGTTCCATCTCCAACTCAAAACAGATTAAAAAAAAAAAAAAAAAAACAAAGAGTTGTTGGGGGCGGGCTTTAGAAGTTTACCCCATAGTTTAGTTTTTAATCACAAAATCAGGACATTTACTTTTTTAATGGGTAGAGGTAGTGTCACCACTTTAATCCAGTGGTCAACTTGTTAATCCTCACTTGTGAGATGGCGTGGCCCTGTGAGCCTATAGAAGATGCAGTCAGCGGTGCACACAGAAGCACATGTGTAGTAGTCCCAGCCAGCACAAAAAGGATACCTTGAAAAACACAGAAAGGCTAGGGGAATATTATAGATTGAGACAGATCAAAGAGCCAGGTGTGTTGGTGCATGCCTGTAGTCCTGGGTACTAGGAAGCCTGAGGCAGGAGCATGGCAACTTTGAGACCAGCCTGGTCAATTTAGATGAAACCCTGACTTGGAATAAAAAACAATAGGGGCACCTTGGGTGATAGGGCACCTTGGGTGATTGAGCATCCTTGGGTTTAATTCCCAGTATGGAAATGGGGCATGGCGGGGCAGAGAGACACTGATAACCAAATTCAGTATGCATATTTTTTTAAAATCTGGAAATTTGGAAAATTCCAAATTTAAAAGAATTGTAGGGAGAGCAATTAGGAAATTTTAAATAGGAAATCTGTTTTAGATCCTATTTATTAGCATCATTCTGAGGTATAGAATAGGCATATCCTTCTTAGAAGATAGATGCAGAGGAAGGGGAGAAACAGATGAAGATACAACTGTGGGGAAATATTAGTAGCTGGTTAATAGAAGACTAAATCATGTAGGTGTTTATTGTAGTGTTTCTTCAACTTTTCTGAAGACTTGAAAATTTTAGAGTCCAAAGTAGCAATGAAGGGGCTGGGGTTGTGGCACAGCGGTAGAGCTCTCGCCTCACATGTGTGAGACCCTGGGTTTGATCCTCAGCACCACATAAAAATAAATAAACAAAATAAAGATATTGTGCCCATTTATAACTAAACAAATATTTTTTAAAAAAACTATATTAAAAAAGGTAGCAATGAAGAGAATTGTTCAGTGATATTCCTGCCAGTCCCAGAGGGCCGAATGCGTGTCTGTGGGTGGCACATGGAAGAGGGTGGACTTCTGCACACTGTGAGGAAGAATTTCCTGTTAGAAGTGATCAGAGAAGCAATGGTGACTCTGTGAGCTAATCCTGTCAAGGAAAGCCAAACATGCTGGCACTGGGGAAAATAGATTCCTGCATGGCTAAGTCATTGTTCTGGGTGGCCCGATCCCCTTCCTTACTTAGTAGCCAATAAATATTTGGGGAGGAGGGGGCTATCCTGGCTTCCGAAAGAATAGAAAATGGGGAAGCATTCCCAGCTTCTTGAGCAACCATTATTTTGGATTTACACTCCTAATCTCTTGAGAGTCTATTTACACGGAAGTTAAGATCCAGGTCTTTACATTTCTATTTCAGGCTATGCTGTGGTACTCTTGAGGGTGTTTGGAAAGTATTCTGATTATTCTTTGCTCTCTCATTTATACAGTCAAGTTCTCTGGTTTGGGTCACCCTAGCACTTGGTCCACAAGAGAAACTTAACGAATAATTGTTTGTTGAATTAATGAATGCCAACCAGAGGAAGGAAAATGTCAGTATTTTTCCCTCGCAAATTGGAAAGAACCCAACCCTGAGAAGCTTGCCCACGACTGTTCTTGAATTTGTTTGTGACAGCAAGGAGTAATGCCTTGTAAGAAAGGAGAAATGTCTTTTCAAAAGAGGGCTGTTTTCCATCTAGGGTACCTGCTGAGTCTGGCAGGGGCCTGCTCTTCTGGCACCCTGAGCCAGGCAGACGGCCCCTCCAGGCTAGCAGCTCCTCCAGCAGATGAATACCTACTTCATCCTCAAAGCAGAAAGGAGAAAATTTAAACACAGAGTCACTTAATTTTGGATTGTTTTTTTGGCTCTCCTCAGACCACTGAGCAACAAGAATGATGGGCTCAAAGCCCAGCAAGGATGAGAGAAAGGCATTTCTCTTGTGTGTGTTTTTACAAGGCCAAACACTCCTATAGCTCTCCCAGCGAGAGGTGAATAAATTGGAGATGTCTGCCTGTTCTTTGATTTCAGTGCTGAAATAAGAAGGAAACATAACTCTTGTCATGTTAAAGGAAGGGTTTTGATTATGTTTAGACCAACACTTAAGACCCCTGAGCTAAACAGTACTGTGGAAGCAGTTCTAAGAGTCTTGATGGGTATCTTTTGATGGCTTCGTTTTGATATTGATTTTTTTTTAATCCTTGTTGTTGATTGACCAATGTGGAAGTCAGAAGTATCTGAATTCTTCTTGTCTAACCTTACAGTTTAAATAAAACATACCACAAGTCT